GTCTAACGAAATACACCAGAAAGAGGTACTCACTCTCATGACAAAGTTTTTCTTGATGAAGAAGAATCCTCCGACAGAAAGGCCGATCGGGGTCTTTCCGAATCTCTTCATGAAATCTAGAAACTAATCAAATAAGTTTATTAATCAAATTGTTTACGGTTAAAAGGCGAATTTAATAATTGGTCGAGTATTTCGAGCGATGTCAACCTTGAGTTTGCTTTCTATTTTCATGTGGACGGAAAAAAATCTTCTGATTCTACTACTTCAATGCTGATTCACAAAAATAAATGAAAATTTAAAGGAAAAAAAATTAATGTTATTTAAATATTCTTTGCATCTTTAAAGATACATCTGAAAATGTGTATTCAATGTAAACTGCATTGCCAACATGAGGTTATTTGTGACTTATATCAAATGTAACAAAGAATGGGTCAATATCCATCTCTTAATGTTGTAGATCTTACTTTAAAATTCATATTTGGTGATGGATTGTTTGAATGGAACATGTTCAAGTAAACATCATTGTAAGTCAAATTCCCCAACATTTAAACATTCAGAATTACTATCCATAATTCTAATAGTACAGTAGTTATAAATATAAATACAACAATTATATTATTATAATATAGAATACTCAGAGAGACAACAAAAATAAAAATATAACAACTCAAATAATAAACTGTGATTCTTCTCACTAACCAGGATGATAGAAATGTTTGAGAGATGTTAGAAGTTATAAAAGGTTTCCCAGGCAATAGAAATCATGTTTGCTTCCTTATAGTTAATAAATCCCCCCTTTTTTTGTAGTTTTAAAGATCTCTAATAGTTCACACCATCTTAAATGTGCTATATCATCTGTAACTTGTATCATTCTAGCCTCCTCAAACATAACTTTTACTCCTGAATCAGTCACATAGATGGCCAAAACTGTAGGGGCTTACTCCTAACAATGGTCTATTCTTTTTTAACATACTACATAAGGACCAGCCGGTAACCATATATATTCCAACTTCATATCAACTCTTATCGTTGATTGGAATTGTATATATTGCTTAACAATAGCAAAGACAGACTATTTACTAAAGAGCTACAACTCAGATTGTTGTTCTACAAGAAATGCTCAAACAAGGCAGAAACCTACATGTAACATGCATAGATTACAAGAAAATATTCAGCACTGTACACATATAACTGTACAAAATACATCTATCAGTTAATATATTTCTGGAAAATATAATACAACAGTTGAGAACAACACATTACATTAAAACAAATCAAATACACAGAAGTTAATTTATTTCCCAAGTCCATACTAATTCTGTCTGGTCTTAAACCCACTGTTCAATAGGTTAAACAACATAAAATATCAAAACATAAAATGGGAAAATACATAGTTTGTTGTCTAAGGATAACATAATTCTATAATCCTAAAAAGGGCATAACTAAATTACCTATTGGTATACATATGACTTTGACATTTAAATAGTTTGATCATAAAAAGAGGAATTCTAAAGAAGGATCACTGTGCAGTTTGAATTAGAGAGGACATTAAATGTTTGGATGATGTATAATCTAAAATTATAAGTTAAGCATAAACATTATGAAATAGTGATGACAAAAATTTTTGTCATCACTATTTCATAATGTTTATGCTTAACTTTCGACTATTCTACTTAACTTTCGACTAGGAAATATCTAAAACATCCGCGAAACAAGTGATCCCACGTCACTAAACACAACCCGTTGTTTAACTTTAAATTAAACAACATTGACACCACCTGGATACGAAAAAACGTATCTATGGCATGACAAAAACAAAGATATTTTAAAAAATGTTAATGTTATATCGTACAATACTTGATAATAGCAATGTTGACCGGCACTCTAGCAGTCACCATCATCACGTCCATCTTCTCTTCCCCGTAATCTTCATTCTCTTCCAAACCCCAGACATGAAGCATATAAGTCAAAGCAATCAACAAACAAACAATGACTAAGAGCAAAGATGAGTCGTGTCAACTCAGAGATGACTCTACAAAAGCCTGACATCATCAACAAGTCAGAAAATGTCAACTCAGAGATGACTCTACGGAAGCCCGATGTCATCACCATAGAAGAAAACACTGCCAATGAATCATCACTTGATGATGAACTTTCTCATGCTGTAAGGGTTTAAAAGGAGAGCTCGAAGCAGAGAAAAGTCAGTGCGAACTGGGACACAGTCCAGTCAGTTAGGAAGGCAGTCAGAAAAAGACCGTGAGACAGTTGAAGATGGGGACACAGTCGGGTTAGAAAAAGGCAGTTAGAGCGAGAGACACAGTTGAGTTAGAAGGGGACAGTTAGAGTTGGAGACACAGTTCCAGCCAGAGAAAGGCAGTTGAGTTATAGATGCTGTCACAGAAAGAGTTGCTGCAGAACGAGTTGGAATCGCAGTCACAATTAGACAGACAGAGATCCAGAGAGTGAAACCAGACGAGCACCAGAGAAAGAGTGGTTCCAGAAAGGACGACTCAAAAACGAGCCATCAGAAACCTCTGCAGTCTTGGCCGTCAAGTCCACGTCACAAGAGAAGACATCTTGTTTATCTGGTATGTTGTGGGTAGCGTAAGTTCGAAATACCCCCCGTTAGGTACCCCCTCGTTGAATAGATAAAAATAGGCAAATTTCCAAAATCGGCTTTTGTAATTCTGTTCCAAACTTTTGTATATGTTAATAAATGTCCTTAAATTGGTTATATATTTGACTCTGCATTCTTCCTCCTTAGAGGCACATTCCTGGACTTCAGAGTGACTCTTACCCTCGCGCCTTAATCATCCATTTTATCTCAAACGGCAGTGTGTCCGATAAAACACACCTGGTGGCAGGACTCTACCCAAAAAAGTACGAAATAATTCTTTACGGCCCCGAACCCCACAATATCATACAGTTAAAATTTTCATTTTTTTGTTTTTTTTATAGGATTGTATTCCACATTTTAAAACTTATTCTTGTAGATATTCTATTGATGTTTAATGGAAGGACTATTAAAAAACAATTGAAAATGATAATTAGTTTAAATTATATTAGTTTTGCTTGAATTTGAAAGTGGGTTTTTTCTTGTATATTGGGTTGGCATAGACTACTTACATTGACACAACCAAATAACAAATATAATACATCAAACAAACACTATTACACACCCACCAATCATACTACAAAAATATAAATTCATAGATAACAATGCAAAATATACTATATATGACAGCCATAATCTGATCACACACTTTCATTGATAAAACAAAATCTATACAGTAGAGTCCTGTACAACATGCAAATAAAGCAAGCAACACCCTTGAATTATGTCAATCAGAGATATATGATTTTTTTCAACTTATAGGCCATGGTTTAAACTTTCATAAATTGTGTGATAATTAGAAGCGGATTTTAGGCAAATGCCTATTTTTTTCCCTTAGCATATACATGGCAAAGATTTTGTATTAACACTTTTCATGAACATTTAGACCGAAATAATGGTATTTTAAAATGCCTAAAAATGCCTAATTTGACGTTACTGCCTATTTTTGCCTAAAACATAAAGTTTAGCCTGTTTTCATATTTTTAAAAAGTTTTTTAATTTTTCGTTTTGTTTCCCACAAAGATTTACTTTGATTCTTAACATACTGTATTGCTTACATTCCAAGGCAGTTAAAATTTTACAAATTCTCCCTCCACCATACCCTCTGAAAACAGCAATTAGCCACACCTAGTCTTTTGTCACCAAGTCATAAAATCCCGAATTGCCAGAATAACAGCCTGACAGTCTACTGCAGATCAGTTTTATTTTTGTCTTTGGAGTGTTCACTTGTGGATAAAATTTTAGTGAAAATGCCAAAAGTTAAAACATCTAAAGCTTCATTAATTCGGCAATGGCTTCAAGAATTCCCTCATTACACGTCGGATGGCAAGATTATTCTGTGCCAAGTCTGTAATAAAGAGGTCAGTAAAAAAATATTTTCATAAATTAAAATATTACTGCAAATTACAAATTATATATACTGTACTGTATAATGTTAATATATATAAAATATAAAGTAGTTTAAAAACAACAAATAATAAAATTTAATATTTTTTGTAGGTGTCCAGTGAAAAGAAATGCCACCTCACACAACATGCACAAGGTGCTCTGCATAAATCGAACGTTGAACGAAAATATAAAATGAAACAGACTCTCTTGACGCAGACTTCAGAGACTTCATCAAAGAAAAATGAGTTTAGTGCTGATTTGTGTCATGCTATTATAGCAGCAAATATTCCATTTAAAACATTGGAGAACACTCATTTTAGAAATTTCTTGGAAAAGTACTGCCACCAGAAAATTCCTTCAGAGTCGACACTTCGAAAGTATTATGTGCAACCTGCATACGAAGATATTATTTCCAGGATAAGAGACAATCTTAAGGACTCTTACTTGTGGTTCTCTGTAGATGAAACAACGGACAGTCTTGGACGCTACGTTGCCAACTTGATTGTTGGAAAGCTTGATGCCGATGGGCCCTCCAGAGCTTACCTGATCTACACGAAACAGTTGACTAAAACTAACCATGAAACAGTGGCTCATTTTGTGAACAATGGACTAAAGATAATTAATCCTGATGAAGACAAAGTTCTTGTAGCCGTAACAGATGCTGCTTCATACATGGTTCCTGCCATGAAAACACTTAAGATTTTTTTTCCTGCTCTTGTCCATGTGACATGCTTGGCCCATGGTCTCAATCGGGTAGCAGAGCAAATCAGAGTAGAATATGAGAAGGTGAATAAACTCATCTCCTCTGTCAAGAAAGTGTTCATTAAAGCCCCATCAAGAGTGCAAGCTTTTCGGCAGATGCTCCCAGATGTTGCTCTTCCTCCAGAACCTGTTCTCACTCGTTGGGGAACTTGGCTGAAGGCTGTTAACTACTACAGTGAACATTTCTCTGATATAAAGAAACTTCTGGACACTTTAGCGGATGATGCAGTTTGTGTAACTAAAGCCAAGGAAATTTTGAATGACATTTATGTTCAGAACGACTTGGTGTACATTAAGTCTCATTTCACATTCATTGCAGACACTATTACTGCTCTTGAAAGTAGTGGGAAACCGATATATGAACAAATTGATCTCCTCAACAGAGCAAAGCAGAAACTTTGTGATGCACCAGGCACTGCTGCAGAAAAAGTGAGGAAAAAGTTGGATGCAGTGCTTCAAAAGAATACTGGATTAAAGTCCTTGTTTGTTGTGGCTGATATTTTGGCAGGAAAGAAGAGCAAAACCGAAAGTGAATTCCCAGTTCATCTTCTTCCAAGGTTGAAATACTGTCCGTTATCGTCAGTAGATGTGGAACGCTCTTTCTCTGCGTATAAATTAATACTCAGTGACAAACGTTGCAACTTTTCTATTGAAAATTTGGAAAAAGTGCTTATAATATATTGTGAAGCAAACTATGGGAAACAGAGTGAATAAAAAATGTAAAGATAATTGTTTGTCTACTTTTGCGTTTGCAGCATTCTGAATATGTGCATTTTTGTTTGGAATACATATGTTAAATAAATAATCCATTGTCTGATAAGTACATTACTTGTTCATTGTGCAAATTTTGACCGCCTATTTTTTGTTTATAAAGCCTAAACGAGACAATTTAAGAGCCTATTTTAGGCGCCTAAAACACTACTTTTAAGGGCCTAAATGTCCGCTGTCTAGTGATAATGCAGCTTTTGATAATGTTATTTCCTATAATGCGTAATGAATCCTCCCAGACTCCCCCCAGTTGTATGGGACTCTACTGTATCATCATTGGTGTAGGTGTTTCAAACATCTACAATGTACAAAATACATACTATATACTGTAAAAATTAGTAAATATTCTGAACTTTTCATGAAATAATGCATTTGTGGAGAGTGGGTAAAATAATTAATGTGCCTATAGTCTGTCCCTCTTGCACAATGCCATAAGATGTGCATGACCTGATGTTTGGAGGTCTTAACATTAGTATATACATCACATTACAGAAAATTGCTTATTGAATACATATCACATAGTAATTCTTAAATATTGATACATATCTTTGCATTTCTTTATTTAACCTACTGAAAATGCACTTTCTTCTGGCTAGCAGCAAGGTTGCAGCTTCATTTGAACAGGGTTTTAGATTGCTTAGTAGCTGCTAGCTAAAATTGTAATGTCCATGAGTAACATATGTCAAATCAATTCTGAAATGAAAAACTGTTTTTGGAAGTTTGATAGCAGGTTGGCTCTACAAAGTCATAATCACATTGACATGTAGGCAAGCTTGAAGGATATGTATCTTATCATGGCTGCCATATGGGAATATAGATGCCTATATTTCTAAATTCTAGGTTTGATGAGCTTAGGCATGCACAAATTCTTTTTATGTCCATAGCAATTGTGGGCAAATTTTTTCACTTTTCCAAAAAAAATGGCTAAAATTGCAAGAATTAACATATAAGTTCGAAAATTTTTGGCTAAATTCTCATAAATTTAGTGGAAAATGGATGTGGGAAAAAAAATTTTTTTGGGCATGGACAATCAAAATATCTGGCTGCCTTAAGTCTTATTTGTAAGTATGTACCAGTGCTGTATTTCTTAAGTTGTAATATCTGAAATGTATTTTAACTTGTAATGCTGTACAAAGTAAACAATGAGTTTTTTGAAACTGACTGACTGTGACTCTTGACTTAAGTTTGCTCACATTTACAAACATAATGGGTCACTGTGACTTAATAAACTTCAAACTCCAAAAAAATTAATTTTGAATTAGATGTAGCAAAAACATAATTGTTCTCAATAACACTTAAAAAACCTCTATATTAGCATATAAATTGCAAATTTACAATCACGACTAACATGGTTTCAAATTAGTGTATTAATTTTTGGAATAGATAAGTTATAAATGTTTTTAATCAATTGCTGATTTTTCATGAAAAGCATTATAACAAGCATTAATCTGTGACATTTATAAATTTTGGTTTTTGTCTGTAACTCTACATCAGAAATAAATACATAGCAATTCTCACTGAAATCTGTTTTAATATAACCAAGAATCTCTCTAGTGCATGTAGAAATCTTTGGCTTATTCATATTATATGAAATGAGATTTAATATAAACAACAAAACCCATTTAATTAAAGATAACAAAACTATAATACTTTCTGTAGTTTTTCTCTAGGCACAGTTCATTATGTGATGAAACAAACTAAGAATTGAATAAGGTATTAGCAAGTCCATAATAATTCAGGTGATTTCATTGCTGGAATGAAAAAGAATAAAAATAAAAAAACATTACTAGTGACCTCTGGCATTGTCACTTTGACCCCACTGTATCTGATTTGTGAAACGAAATCATGGACCTGTAATTTTTATTAAGTTTTTAATTTCCTTATTTCATATTATATTAAAATAAGTATTTTGTATTAAAGATGTAATTTAAAATAAGTTTAAAACTGAAGTAATATTTTAAGACATCTTTCATTAGTTTCTATCAGTTTAATATATTAAGTGCATACTTTCATTCAATTTTATTTTAATATACTCGTATGAACAATGTTAGTAAAATTTAACTGAATATTTGTTAAGAGATATTAAAATTATTTATTAAAAAAATTATCTTCTGATTATTAGTTTTTACAAAACAGCAACAAGCTTCATTTCTTTTGCTATTAAATATCCTGTGGAGTTTAGTCGTCAATGTACATTTTTTATTATTATTTAGTTTAAAAACTTTGATAATTTTATTTTATTTTCAAGTTTCTGGACAAATAAGAACTTCTATAGGACAGACTCATCTTTTAATAAATCAACGTTTTAAACAGTTTTCTAGTCTTATTGACGATTGTGAATTTCGTAAAGGTCATAAAGAAACAACTTGTAATGATCTTCAAGGTTTCTGGGATATGATTTATTATCAAGTAGGAAACTATTCTAAATTTTAAAATATGAAATCTGGTGTTTAACTTAAATTATAGAATATTTATTGGAAGGTCTACATCTAATGAAAGTTTTATAAATATTGAAAATATGAAATACCTTAGGTAATGGACATTCATGAAAAATTTCAAAAATTGGAAGTTTTGAAGAATAACAATTGGAAAACTCTAGAATCTGAAGAAACAGATAAGGTTGTAATATTGTTTGTGTTAAAATTGCTTATCATATATATTATAATAATGTTTGTTTAAATGTCTTTTCAGAACAAAAAGAAGTCAGTTTGTGAAAATAAAATTAAAAGGAAAGCTCTTCAGTCTTCCGCTCTAAAAAATCACATTCAGGAAGCTCGCAAAAGAATGAATCAGTCTTCAAAAGTTTGTCCTGTAACATCATTTAATTCTCAGGATAAGGAAAATATAAATTATTTCTCATTAGCACCAGAAAATGGAGCTATTGAAAATAATACTTAAAATTATTTTATACAGAAATTTTTGAATTTTCATCAGTATTTAAAAAATATATCATCATGCACATATTTCAAAATATTATCAAGCTCAAAGTTAATCTCTGAAATTTTATTCTGTGATTTCCGTAAAATTTGTAAAAAAAAATAAATAAATAAAAACCGAAAATGTAAGAATTTTGTCAAACAATATTATAGTAGTTTAAAACTAGTCTAAAAGACAAAAAAAACAACCAAAGAATTTTATGTAATAAAATGTTCTTCTACATTGTATTAAATCAACGTGTAACTTTATTTTCAATATTTTAAAAATTTCTTTATTTAAATAAAATATTTTTGTATGCATTATAAAAATTTATATTAACTAGAATAAACTACGTTCAAAATAAAGGATTTGTTTTATTTAAAAATGCTGCATAAAATGTGAAATGATTAAACTTTATATTCTTTGTCGTCACCAGAAAAACTTTTTTTTTGATCATCAATATGACGTCAATACTAGCTGAAATTTTTAATGCCAAAACTTGGCAGCGATCCGACATTTTTCTGCTTTACGAGTTTGACAAGTACAATCAATATATATTACACGCAAATTTAGCTAAGAAGAATTGGTGTAGAATTATTGACCAGTATATAGATCGCGTTAAAAAAAAAAAAAAAACTGTTGAAATCGTAAATTAAATTTCGATATTAAAGATTTTCTGAAGTGTAATTATGCCAAAAGTTTAGTTAAACTTTGTGTAAATCTGTAATGCAATATTTTTATAATCATGATCGTTATGTAATTATAATTTAATTATATAACAGGATTAGTTTAAAAGGTCAGATGAATTTAATTATTAACTTCGTTCAAACCAAGCGAATCTTTTTAAATGTTACAAAGTGTTATAGTAATTGTTTATTTTTATTTTGAAAGTAGGGAGATAAAACTTTGATAAGACTTTCGCCGTTAAGAGATTAATTAATAGAATGCGTTTACTCAAGATAGGATAAATTAATTTCGATGGATTAGATAAGATAAAGCAATTATTGTGGACGTTTTAAATTTGTTTTTACCTGATTTTTGAGGTTTCAGTCAACTATATTTTAACTTTTTTTTTTGCTGTAAAAGTTGTACTTACACACGAGTATATAGAATAAGCTTTTAACACGCTCTTCATACATAAACTTTCAATTAGAAAATAAGTTACTGACAAAACATTTTTCCCGCATTTTGATATATGTAAAAATTATATTGTTTATTAAAAAGATTTTTTTTAAGATTCCAATTATTATTTTTCGTTGATAAATTTGTGCGAAATTTTTAATCCTATTATAAATGTCATAAATCGAGTCACGCTTAAATCAATAAAAATCTTTATTTGTTGATTAAAAAATTATCTACAATCGAAAAAATTATAAACTAATCATCTTTTATTTCATTATTATTCTATACTTCTGGTTACATATAGCTTTAATATAAATTTTAAACGTTATTTTTTCTGCAAATGCCAACATATATTCATTAATATAACAACTGTTAATGTCGGATCGATACAGTTCAAGGATACAATGGTTTTACGATTCCAAAAAAACTGAATTCCAATATATAGAGTCAATAAGCACAAAACGGATGATTCAGACAAAACGAAATCCCTTAATCAGGATATCTAGAACTTTTTGTAAATATTGATTTATTACATTTTTATGCATGTTGAAATCCATATTTTGTGTTATAAATTTTTTAATATTCAAAATCATTTTTGATGGGTGTTTATCCAGGACAAAACCCAGTCTATTTTTGTAACTAATCTATTTATATATGGTGTATCATTAATTAGCGAAAAGGAAGTTTATTTTCTAGCTAATAACATTGCCGTTCTATATCCAAGTTCTGGTTTACGATCTTTTCCTTCGATTAAATTTCTGACTTGATCGGAATTAATTATAATACCTTTCATATCTATAATTTTGTCTTTCATGATTTTAATGGATTTATTATCTACACCACGGCTAGCATCGTCGATGAGGAACGTACGGTAACCAAGTTCCAAAGCATGCAAAGTAGTGGATCCAACGCAATAATCGTAAGCCAAACCACAAATAAAAACGTCGGTAACACCTCTTTCACGCAATTCTGTATCCAGATTAGTCGACGATAATTTCTGATTATCCCAGAAAGCCGAATAACTATCGATATTGGAGTTGGTACCTTTATGTACTATAACCGCATTTTCGGTGATTTTAAGATCCGGATGGAATTCGGCACCCCATGTATTCTGCACGCAATGTTTAGGCCATAGTTTCTGCTCGATTTTTGGAGTTCCTTCGAAGATAACCGTATCGAATGTTTTGGCTTTCTCACCTGTAACTAAACTACTACAGTCCACTTTCCTCTTGCTTATGTTTTCTATGAAAGACACGTGATCATCGGGATGCCAATCTAGCGAATAGATGATCACGTTAAAATCGATACTATCGATTAGATGGTTGATGACGGGGATGATATCCTCCCCGTTATGGTTTGCTGGGCAATTTTTGATGGAAAGGCTACCCTTTATAAAATCGTTTTGGACGTCTATAACTACAAGAGCACTTACTGGTTTCAAGATGACTTTAATCCAATTCTTCCACGCATATTTAAACTCGTCTTTATCGATTCTTCCGTCTTTATTCGCGTCGAAAACGTAAAACATGTCGGCCAGCATTCTGGGAAGAACGGAATAACTTTGACCATTTTCACGGCAAAACAAATGACGTGTCAGCTCTTCGAATTCTTTTAAATTCAATCCTTGATCAGTATTTTTTGCGAAATGTCGATAGCAATTATGTTCTACATCTTCACTGTTAATATCTTCATTTAATAGAGAAGAAAAGTAGTTATTAATATCAGTCATGTTCAGACGTTTTACCAAACTCCAAAGAAGCAACTATTCAATAATAAACTAACACAATACACCTACCTATCGCTTTCAAAACTAGTTCCTGTTACCACGGAAACATCTTTAGTTCAGCTACTAAATACATGCAAGTCACCACAAGGGTTTTGCGTTTTTTTTTCCTTTATTGAAGACAACACGTGCTACAAAATCATTCGTTTTCGTCACGTGGTCACTTAGTCACGTGATCCCGATCCTTTATTAGAAACGATCATAAAATATTCATTTAAAAATTTGTTAACCTATAAAATTTTAAAGAATGTAACTAAAATATTGTTATTATTAACTAAACTCTTTAATTGTGAGCGGAAAAATAGAAAAAAACGGCCGTTTTATTAACAGATTATAAAAAAAAAACATTTTAATTAAGGTAGAATTTTAACCATTTCTTACGTAAGATTGCGGAATTTACCCTAAAGACGCGTGCCGTCATCTTCCCTCTCTATTTACGTAACCATTTTTAAAATAAAATGATGAGAAACGTCTCTTAAATATTAATTTCGTAATCGATAATTAGAATAATAATAACGTTAACAAAAAAGTACACGAAAGTTAATTAAAGAAACAGGAAAAAAAATAATTGCTATTAACGATAGATGGCGATATTATTTTTGTTTTAGAGGAATAATGTCAATTTCCTTGTCAACGTGCTCGTTTAAAAATATTATTTTTGAGCATTTTCGTGGAATATTATGGTAATTTTTTTTTAATTCTTCGAATTATTTATGCTCCATACCCGATTATATTTACAAATTCGTACTTTAAATATCCGTTTACTCGTGTTACATACCTACAATATACCAGTACATGAGACATATTTAGAATACATAAATGCTGAATCAATATTAAAATTTTAGAATTTCACTCTTACATATGCTCTTCATCTGCTCTTTTATATAAAATTCTAGCAGATAAATATCTAGAATTTTTTTCAGTCTATAGATTTATAAGTTTTCAAAAAATATTGGAAAAAGAAAAGTAGAGTATATATAATAATCTTATATTATATACATTTTAAATGAGGATTACATAGGAATAGGAATATAATTTTTCTTAGGAACGTGCGTAATGCTGTGATAAATTTTTTTCACATTAAAAAGTTATTCTAATTCAGAAATAGATGTGTGGAATGTGTTGGTGAGATTATTTTCTACATTTAGAATATTATATAGTACTTCTATTACATTATTTTATTGTGTAATATTTTCTAATTAAAGAATTTGCAATTGTAAATATAAAATTCTTGATCTGGACATATGAAAAATATTACTTTTTCTGTATTACATCTTAAACATTTAATTATAAGAATATTTTGTAAAGAAAAGTAAAAATTAAATATATACAGTACTAAAGAAACAGACATTAAGAATCGGTTGTTTATAATTTGCTTCCTGCTTATCCTAACTGAATATATATTGTAATAATGTGAAAATATTTAAATGTCAAAGTTGTTAGACATACACTATCTAACTAAAATTAATAATCTCTTTCAAATGATAATTATATATTAAAAAGGAAATTTATATATATATTGCTAGAAAAATAATAGGATTTTTATAAAAAATATTATAAAGTTTTTAACCAAATTTCCAGTACAATTCAAGCTCTCAATGGGATGGTTGGAACCTTTTCAGAGCTGTTTGGAATAAAAAGTGTTTATAGTTCAGTTAACTAGATATAATTTATGATAATAGATGAGATGCTGTTCAGTATATCAGATAAGCAATGAGGTGAAGCATTATCTTTAGGAATTAGTTGCTTATTTAAAGAAATGTAGAACATTAAATTCTTTGGTCAGTTAATTTACTAATTTAATATAAAAGTCAGAAATGTTTTCAGCTTAGAATTATATTTCTATTGAAAATTTTATTTCAGTTAATTTTTATACTGTTATGGTGAGATTTAAGAAAATTTGAATTTTACCCTGAAATGCCTGAAGAAATGGTGAGGATTTAATTATATATTTATTTATTATCTTTAAAATACTGGTAAACAATGAAAACAGAATAACTAAATTAGAAAACTCGAAACAGTGTTCACAAAATAAATTGACATAGCATTTAGCTTATGCATAGTTTACTGTAGATAAATAAATTGTAAATAACCTACTGAATTCGACCTTGATAAAATGCCAGGATTCATTCTGTTAGCCATATTCAGTGATTGGTTGCTATATAATAACTAATTCTGTCATTGAAAATGACATCTGATTTATTTGATTTTAGATGCTATTTCTAAACAAAATAACTAAATAATGTATAATTTTATAAATAAAATATATATATATTAATTAAAACATGAAAGAATAATTTAAAGTGTGTTTCACAAATGTCATTTTTTAAACAATGCAAAACTTTACAGTTTAAAATATTTATTTTTTTAAGGATGCTTTACTTAATGCAGTTCTAAATGAAGATGTAAAAGAAGTTAGAAGATTATTAGATGATGGCTGTTCAATTAATTACATGAACCAGGCAAGGAATTGTAAATTAATAATATTTTATTAAACTAAATAACTTATTTATAATTATTAGCATATTTATGACATTATTTCTGAACTACTTATTTTGTCTTAACTTAAAAATCATTGTAATACTTTTGTATATATTTTTATGAAATTATTAAATTTTTTGTTATTAGCTTATTATAACAAATGAACTGAAACCTATAATATATTTTCAGAGAAGTACTCTTTTTGTTTTGAGTTTTTTTTTTATTATAACATAGTAATCAATAATTGTGTATGCATGTTATTATGTAGATATATTAAAAATGTTGTTTTTAGAAGTTAATTTTGNACAAAGAAGTAAATCTGGTTGGATGAATCTAATTACAAACAACAACAACATATTTTTTTTATTAATGCTATTACAATGACATTTGATTAATTCTTTTGAAGACAAAATCCTTTCCAGAAAAATACAGGAACCACCATTCATTAACTTTGTATTCCAGACATTACACTTTTGGCAACTGACCATTCTTTTTAGGCTATTGGCCGCCAAACAGTCTTTTAAAAAACACAAAATTATCCAATTAAAAATATAAACATTTTTAAAAAACAGGAACTGGTGATATTCGGACATCTTCTCTTTTCCATCATACCTTCTTGGGGTTTGGCTTTTATCTACAATGGAATAAGCGCTGGTAAAATGCAGATGGCGGCCAGTAGCCTAAAAAGAAAGGTCAGTCGCCAAAAGTGTAATGTCTGGAACACAAAGTTAATAAATGGTGGTTCCTGTATTTTTTTGGAAAGGACTTTGTCTTCAAAAGAATTAATCATAATTATCTCCATCGGACGAAAATTTACAAAAATGACATTTGAGTTTATTTTAGTATTGAAATTTTATTTTTTTTTTTTTCATTGTCCAAAATTTTTTGACATTGTAAATTAAAGTTATTACAATATTCAATAAGTATTGAATCTTTTCATTTTTTTATTTCAGAAATTGATATATCACATTTTAGCATATGATATTGAGAAAGTAAAGTGTCTAATGGAAACTTCTCTAAATAATTTACTTCTTGATCTTAGAAATATGGTAAAATTATTATCCAAAATAAATAATAATGAAACTAATTTCATAATTATCAAGTTATGATAAATTATGATGATGTTTTACAGAGTCACAATGGTGCTCCTATATTATATTTTGTTCTACAACAAAGAGATGCAGAAATGGTAAAATTGTTCATTGAGAAAGGCTGCCATATTTATACTGTTATGAGAGATAATGAAGGAGTATGTTTGTTTGTAAAAGATTTAATTAATTTTTGTTTTTATTATAAATATAATTTGTATGTAATAAGTAATTATGTATTGTTTTAGTTTGATATGCCTGTATTTTTTGCTGCCTTAAAATCAGACACTTCAGTTGATATAATTGAAGCTTTGCTTCCACAACACAAACCTCTCCAAGAAGAATTATTATCAAGATTATTATATAAAGTAATTTACATATGTCAATTAAAATAAAATGAGAGTTTTTAATAAAATTATTAATTATTTTTTATTTAAATAAAAAATAAAATAGGGAAAAACAGTTTTAGAAGTAGCTTTAGAAGAAAATGTTTCATTAGACGTTTTTAGTTTATTGATTGACAGAGGTGGAGCAATTCTAATTTCAAAAAGAAATATGGTTAGTAATGTTATATACTATTATATTGATAAAATATTGGTTTACTGACTTTCTCATTTTAATTTCAGTTTAATGAAACTGTAAGAGATTTAGCACTGAAGTCCAATAAAACAAACTATGTAAATAATATTGATAAAGTAAGTTTGAAATTTTAAATTTTTATTCAGGTACTATTTTATGATTTATAAATTAAATACATTGAAACAATAAATTGTTTTTTTTGTTCCTTATTATCTCAAAAATCACGTTTTTCCATTCAAACACTTCTTTTAAATATCTGTGAACCTTGCAATTAAGATTATCATTATATATTAAATTAATATAATAGAGAGCCAACTGTTTTCTTTTCAGTTGTGTTAGTGTATTTAAATAAAAAAAATTTTTTTTGTATTACTATTTAAACACTTTTAATTTAAAAAAATAAAAATAAATAAATTAAGTAAATTATTTAAATTCCTATAAAATTTAATTATCATTTTTTAATTGTTAAAAATTCCAACAAGTTCAGCTTTTAAATTCAAACTATGGAAGAAATTTGTTAAATACAATATTATAAAAATAATTATTCAAAGTATTAATAGATTTTCAAAATTTAATGTATTAGGAGACTTTAACATAATTATTAATGTTAATGTTTTAAGTAATTTGATGGTTATCATTTTCCTTTCCTTCTTCCATCACAATCTTGCTTTGTCAGAATAAGAATTATATGTACAGTACATTACGATATTAATATATTAAGCTCTCAAGATTATATTAATTTAATCAAGTTTAAAATATTTACAGAATGTTGCATTATGGATTTTAGAGCCCAAAACTTATCCAAATCAAAGACAGATTTTAGCATTACATGGTTATCAGCCATTGTTAGAAATAAAATGCCAAGTAAGATTAAAATATGATGTATTATTTAATTTTTCATATTGATTTTAATTATAAAAAAACATTTCTTACAGTTTGGTAATAGTATAACAGAATATCTTTCAAATGATGAATTTGTAATACAACTGCCATCTTATCAGGTATTTCTTTTTTATAAATATTAAATTTATTATTTGTTTACAATGTAAAACTGAATTTTAATTTAAAATTTTTAAAAATTAGGTAAAACATTATGAATATAATTAATAGTCAGATTATCTTATGGAATTTTGAAAATAAATAGCCATCCTATGTTTTCATTTTGAGTTTAATCATATATTTGTTTAATATTCTCATGCATTTTGATACAGAATTTATTGACTTCTTACCTATTTCTGAAATACCAAAGAGGTCTGTACTGAGTACCATTTTTAGTAGATTTTTGGTAGATTTATATCAAGTTAATTTTTTATCTCTGTACCAATTGCACATGCAGATGACATTAAAATTATTAGTAATGATCTGTTACAGCATTATATTAAATTAATGAATTTTTTGTTTTATGTTCTTGCCATAATCTTTAAATTAACATACAAAAGATTGTTGTTATGCATTTTTATCTGTTAAATAATCTATCTGTACTGCTTATATTAGCTACTTCAGATTTCTGATATTAATGATCTTAATAGTAAATGTTAATTATTTAATTGATACTTGTCAATAAAATAGTTAAATTTTTATATTTTTCATATGGAATAATATATGACATTATTATTCTGTTACATTCTTTGAGTTTCTTTTTTATCCATTCTTACTTTTTTCTTTTTGCTCTTTCCACTCTTTGGCCATAAGAGGATCTTTTCTTCCTTACTCATTATGGGTCTGGCCTAGTTCACAATGAGGTGATTGGATGATGAGGAGCCCAACATATTTGGACCATACCATCTGTATTTGTTTTGAAGTTCCCCAGAGCAACAATCTGATTCCTTAACTACCTTGGCCACTTAGCCATCTATCATCAATTCTTGTTTTTTTATTGGAGTATTTAATTTTAATATATTTTTATATTAAAATTAAATATTTTATCTTTTATAATATACATTTCTATTCCAAGAAATATCTACTCTTTTTTAACTTATGATTGGAAAATAATATATTTTTTTAATTATTATATATTACAGTTTAATATGTAATTTAGTATTTAATCTAAAGTCAAATAACTGCATATTTTAGTGATATTTTTTTAAAGGAAATTTTGATTATTATGTTAACCATTTATATGTAATAAATAACAATAACAATAAATAATTTTAACAAAAGTGATGCTAGAAATTGTTATTTTTATTTTAGAAACAAATTCAGTTATTATCAGAAGCTGTGGAGAAAGGTAATTCTGTTGACTTTAATAATTTGTGTGTTCTTCCAAATAATGATGTCTTCAACTGTTGTTTATCATGGGATGGGAGATCAGTAGTAAGTATTTTAAAAAATGCTGTAAATTTTTAAAGATTAACTTTAAGTTAGTAAGAAAAGTAAAATCAAACTTGTCACAAGTCAAATTTAAAGTTAATTTACTGAATTTATTTTTAAGTTTAAATAGATATAATAATTTTAATACAGATTCTAATACATGTACATTTTAGTAATATTACACAAAATACACAAAAGCTAATTTAGTCAATATTTAAATTTTAAGAAAATACAGTAAATTCTTTTTAACATCAATTCCTGTGGAGTCTCTCTAAGGGTTGGTGTTAAATAGTTAATATTAATGAGTATTATGCAATTTCACTTTCAAAGAAAGTAATATTTCATATATATGATAATATTAAACTATATATTGAATTGTAAGACTGCATATTCTGTTTTCAGATAAATTTTTATGAATCTTGTACTGTACTTTTTCAGTCAGTTAAGAATATAAAATACCATCAAAAATCTTGAATTTTTTTTTTTCATTAGCTTTAATTATTGTACCTTTGGAATACATAATAAATACGTATTAATTTAGATTTTAACATTTAAAAACAAAAGAACCTTAATACAACTGTATAATATAAGAATACACAATACTTTTATATAATATACCTATTACTAGATAAAACTTTTTAAATCTGAAAAATTTTATAATTTTGAGTACAAAAATATCAGCTAAATTTGTTCATATTTTTTGAAACTTCATGAAAGTAATAATAATAATAATTCTAGAAGCTAAGTGGAAGAGATGCTGACATTCATTTATATCATTTAGTATACTATGAACTAAAAAAATGTTGACTGTTAACTGAGTTTCTCTTAAGCAGAAGTTCAGTATAAATAAAATATAGATTTCTGCTAAGGCATCAAAAACTGATGATATTAACCAATAGTGGAATAGTTGTACATGAAAATGATGATATCATTTTTAAAAATTTTATATGTCCAAAAAATATTACAAGTTGTATATAATTATAGGTATAACACTATTGTTTTCATAAAAAGAGGACCATATTATGATTATCAGCCAATGGATATAGAATGAATCTAGTTTGTTTTGTGAATTATTGGGTTATTTTTAAATAAAGTTTGTGAAATATTTGTATTGACCTTTTATTGCATTAATATTAATTTGTTTTACTTCTCTCATTTGATCGTTAATAATGTTAAAGAATCTAGATTTCTTCTTAATTATAATGAGAAATTATTTTTCTAAATAAAAAATAAGTTATATATGAATTAGTTATATTGGAAATTTAGTTTAATATCATTTCACAAACATTTTACTTTATTTTAAACATAGATTATAAAAACAAAAAGAACATATATGAAATGTGCAATGCCTTAATGTTATAAATGCCAAAAAACAAACTTATCAGGAGAAGTAAAAATACTTTTTCTAGTGAATGAATTCATTTCAATTTTACAATAAAATGGTAAAACTCACTAGGTTACAAATTCTCTGGAATATCAAAATGATGTAAACATAAGCCTTATGGCATTGCACACTTCATATATACTACATTATCTTAAGTATTCAGAAACTTGCCTTTCCAAAACATATCTATTTAATCTAAGATGTTAATAGAGAATAGATATATTCTTTGCTATTGTTATAGCTTTTCCATTCATGTTAGATTTTCCACTAGATATTGGTATATTTCAGCTGAAATTGTTCTTCATTACTCTATGAGAAACACAAAGCGACAACTTCATAGATGTAAAATCTTTATCAGAAAGCAAAAACAGAACTTGCCCACTATTGTACATTGTGAACAGTAGACAATCATAAATCCTTAATATCAATGACACTGAAATTGAATTGAATGTGAATCTACAAATTGTTATCTCCCAATCTCTAAACAAAATACATTGTTATCTTAAAAAAGAAACAGAAAAGGTTCCATACTAGTGAAATTAAAACATTAAATAACTGAAGGATGGCCCAAATAAGGTCTAGAAATAAATAATATGTAGGTAAGGATATTCAAATTTTCTTTGATATAAAATCTGATTTTCATGTCATTGTGACTTCAGTTTTATAAATGATGCACTGGTGTTACACATATTCATTATAAGTAATGATGCTTGAAAAAATGCATAGAAGTCATCTTGATATTAGGAGATGCAAGTAAAAAATTAGATCAGTTTTATTTTAACCTCACATGTCAAAGGACTTTTATTTATTATTTTGTTTTTAGTAAATTATTAATTAACAAGCAATTTAGTTAAATTTTCAAAACATGGGATCAAAACCATCAAATTTAGGTTAAAACTATGATTTTAATTTAAAAACTTCTTTATGAAAAAGATAGGTCATCTAAGCAGTAAAATTGTATAAATACTTTTATAAGTCATAATGCCTAAATGTCATAGCCTAAATTATAACTTATAACTAATAGTGGGACATCTAGGCACTAAAAATCATATAAATAGTTATAACTTGCATGATTTTCATAACTATTTATATGATAAATAGATGTTTTAGCTTTACTTATGAGATATGAATATACCTCTAACGGCTGGAGCTGTGTCCACCATTGTATAGCCTTCTTCCTAATAACTAGTTTGAGTTATTAGATATGAATATGTTGTTATTTTACATTGAAGTATGATTTGAAACTATTGTAAAATATAAATAAATATTCTTACTTTTTCTTCATTGTTTACTTTTTAAGGGTGATTATTTACCAATGTTGCATAAAGCAGTTCTCTTCAATCATCCACACTTGGTAAAAGCAATTTTAATGCTTAAACCACCACAACAATCAATCGATACATTATTTGATCAGGTTAGTTCTTATAATTAGTATAATTATACTAATTATAAAACTGGAAAAAAATTATTATTTTTATAAATTAAATCTTAAAAGTAACTTTTGACTATTACTTCTTTCAATAAATAAATTTCATGTATTATTGTGTTTTTTCAATATTATATATTATGTATGTAGCATTTATTTAAAGTATAATTTTTTTTCAGTATAATCGAACTGCTTTGCATTATGCATATGCCATTCCCAATGCAGAAGAAATTAGGAAACTTTTATTGAATTGTGGCTGTTCAGAGCATGTTTTAGATAAAGTAAATAATGAATTACTTTTTATTATCAAATTTGAATAAGATAACATGAGAAATTTAAAAGAAAATTTTATTTCAATAGAATGGTAAAGAGCCTCTTGATTTTAAAGACAAAGCAGGTACACAGACAATGGAGAAGCTTCTGCAACGACTGAGAAATAAGGTATAGCAATAAAAATGCTTAATGAATTTATTTTTTTAAATGAAAATTGTTTTAATTTTTAATTAATTATTTTTTAAATTTAGGAATATATTACAAATGAACCAGATCCATGGCAGTTTAGTGATGAAAAATGCACAGCAGAATACAAGCACCCGGATTATGGAAATAATGGTTGTAATTTTACTTCTCCAGATTGTCATATTTGTGATACACATAGTGAAGATCAGTTTGAACTAGAAAATCATTCAAAATATTGCATTATTTTATAAATTTATTATTTATTATATTTATATTTTCAAATATTTTTTTTAAGTAAAATATTATTTTTAAATGAATTATTTTTTATATAAGATTTGTTAAAGTTTATATATATAAAGGCACAAAAGATACATAGCAAACCATGATATATAGTAAATAATTTTACCATAAGAGAATTATAGAAAATTATGCAATTTAGCAATATAGAGATTAAAATATTAAAAACTATTTATTTATAATCACATAAAACATCTTATTTTTGCCAAGGAAAATGGTTTTTGATCGCAATTGTTCTATAAACCATTCTCAAGCATTGAATTATATTCTATCATTAGAATATAAAGTTCTAACAGAATTTCAAACCCAACAAATTCAAAATATAAATAAAAGAGCAAACAACAGAAATGCCACACAAAATCAAAAAAATAATAATAATAAATGATGAAACATAAATATAAATAAGATAAATATATAAAAATTTTGCAAATAAACAATGCAAAAAGCCAAATATGAAAAAATTTTACTGAAAACATTACTTCTTTGACAGAAGGGCAATCTATAAATTGGCATGTCTTAGTTATTTCTCCACAATGTATTTCCATGCTGATGGTAATCCTTCAGCATCCCTGGAATTCAAACATCTGTCCATTATCCTGCTTCTGTACATTTCTAACTTTTCGGTGTTCATCGCTAATGATGGTGAATGCACTGGTTTTATAATGTCAGTTTCCTCCCACTTCATAATTAAGCCTTCCACCTGCACCATGGTGGAAAATACTGTACAATACTATCCTTTTTTGATGTTGTATTGATGTTCTTTAAGGTGTACTTCAATTTTTCTTTTTGTGACTCCAAAATTGGAGTCACAAAAAGAAATCTCAAAGTATTCTTTCTTGACCTCTAACTGTTGATTTTCATATGGAACTCTATAGACTCTTACCTCTTTTTTGTTTTTCTTTGTCATCTGTAAGAAGTCTGTAAATGGTCATGTGTTGGTTTAATGTAAACAGCTCTCCAACCACTGATCAGAAGAGCTTATCTGTATTGTTGTAGCATTAATGAAAGAATAAAGGAGCTGAACAGAATTAAAAATATCACTGTAGAATTGGGATACAAAAAGAAATTTATCGAAGATCTTATTAAATGCTTTAAGGAAGTCAAAGGAGGAAAGAAAACAAGAAGCAATAGGATATCTAAGTTCATATATAATAATAACTTAAAAAACATCATGAATGAGATTGTGGATAATAAAGAATCAGAATTGGTATTCAAAAGACACCCACCATTTACAGACTTCTTAGAGATGAAAAAGAAAAAAAAAAAAAAAAAAGAAGCAGGAGTCTATAGATTTCCATATGAAAATGAACAGTTAGGGGTCAAGAAAGAATATATTGGATTCTAAAAAGAAATCTCGAAGTACACCTTAAAGAACATCAATACAACATCGAAAAAGGACAGTATTTGCACAGTATTTTCCACCATGGTGCAGGTGAAAGGCTTAATTATGAAGTGGGAGGAAACTGACATTATAAAACCAGTGCATTCACTGTCATTAGCGATGAATACCGAAAAGTTAGAAATATACAGAAGCAGGATAATAATGGACAGATGTTTGAATGCCAGGGATGCTGAAGGATTATCATCAGCATGGAAATACATTGTGGAGAAATAACTAAGACATGCCAATTTATAGATTGCCCTTCTGTCAAAGAAGTAATGTTTTCTGTAAAATTTTTGATGGTTTTTAGAATGAACTAAAAACATTTCCTATCAAAAACTGTTTTCCTTAGCAAAAATGTGTTGTATGTGATTTTAAGTTACTGATGAAAGTGTATTTTCGAAGAAACTATTTATTTATTTTAATGAAATGACTAATTTGCACAATTAAAACATACATTTTCATCTTCAATGGTTAGTGCTTTAATTGCTGATAAATGAAAGATTCTCATGAAGATTAATAAAATTTATCATTGCTATCAATTTAGTTCATTTTTTATTTATTTATTTTATTACTTTTTAAACTTCATTTTTAATATGATATCTTTTAATGCTGTATTCATAGATTTACATTTAATGCATTTACTCTTTCTTTTAAAATGCTTTGTGCGAATGTACTGTACATAACATCTTTAAAGAAAGAGTAAAAGAGTATTTTTAAGGAACTGTTGTAGTATAGTGAGACATGTAGATCAATATTTCTATGCCTTTAAATGAGAATCAAATTTTAAAAACTATTTTTAGCATTGTTGTAATAGATAAAATATCTCTTTAATGTCAAAAGAGAAAATTCATATTTCTATCCTGTAACAGATGATGCAAGACTATTTCCTTATTATATCTTAAATTGAAACAACTTTTTATAACACATTTTCTATTGCTTCCATATAGTGCCTTTTCAGTTATGTAGGAAAAGGTTATTGTATTGAAAGATATTTAAAATACAAAAATATAATAAAAACTGCAACAATAGTGCCTTTAATAAATTATATTTATAAAAACATTATGAATATAATTAATAGTCAGATTATCTTATGGAATTTTGAAAATAAATAGCCATCTTATGTTTTCATNTTTTTTAAATAGCCTGGATTATGGAGAGCAGTTGAATCAAATTCTATTACTGATGTAAGAAGATTAATAAATTTATGGTGTAAAACTGATTTGATGAAAGTACATAGAATTACTTATTTTAGCTTTTTGCAATTGTTTTATATTCTATAACTATGTTATAACATTATTTTATTAAACATTATAGGATGGCAAAACTTTACAACAGTTAGCAATAGAAACAAGAAATGAAGAAATAATTGGTTTAATATTTAGTATTCATCCCACAATGGTGAGTAATTATTTATTTTATATTTCTGTATTACTCATTAAATGTAAAAAAAAAGCTTTCTTTATTAATATAATAGCAGATGGTTTGTTGTTATTTTTTTGTCCAGCACTGCCTGGACAAAAAGTAACAAACCCTAAAATGTAAACCATTTTAGAATTTGGTTATTTTAGCCTACCATTGTCATGTTTATCATAAAGTATTAAATAAATTATAATAAGAGAAAAGAAAAATCAATCTTATTTAAATTCATTTAACAAAAATAAAAACAAATGAACAATCTGATAGACTAAATTAATATTAATAAAGATAATCTTAAAGATTTTATTGTTTGTTAGTAAAAATAGCATTAATTTATAGTTGTAGGAACCTTTATGAGCCCCTAAATTTTCTTTCAGATCTGGGCAAAAAAATCCCAGCTTTTCCCCTCTTGAGGAGAGGAGCTGGGGATTTTTTTTTCACTGTAATATGTTTTTATTTCAATAATAAAAACATATTACAAAGAAGTAAATCTGGTTGGATGAATCTAATTACAAACAACAACAACATATTTTTTTTATTAATACTATTACAATGACATTTGATTAATTCTTTTGAAGACAAAATCCTTTCCAGAAAAATACAGGAACCACCATTCATTAACTTTGTGTTCCAGACATTACACTTTTGGCAACTGACCATTCTTTTTAGGCTATTGGCTGCCAAACAGTCTTTTAAAAAACACAAAATTATCCAATTAAAAATATAAACATTTTTAAAAAACAGGAACTGGTGATATTCAGACATCTTCTCTTTTCCATCATACCTTCTTGGGGTTTGGCTTTTATCTACAATGGAATAAGCGCTGGTAAAATGCAGATGGCGGCCAGTAGCCTAAAAAGAAAGGTCAGTCGCCAAAAGTGTAATGTCTGGAACACAAAGTTAATAAATGGTGGTTCCTATATTTTTTTGGAAAGGACTTTGTCTTCAAAAGAATTAATCATAATTATCTCCATCGGACGAAAATTTACAAAAAGTAAAGAATATTTTATGTTATTTTTATGTACGTTTCTTTATAAAGCTATATTTAATTATAATTTTCTTTAAAAGTATATTCGTACAATTGAAGAATATTTTGTACCAGGTATGTACAGTACACCCACCACACATTTTATTTCACCGAGTAAGTTATTATTATTTTATTTTTAATTGTAACCCTTATATCGTGGTTAGCGATTCGGAATGTAATTGTGATATTAAAAATACATTTAGAGAAGTTTGCGGTTTTTACTGGCTTATCGAACAAACGAATACGAATGGACCCCAGACCAACACTGACGAGCAATCAACTGATGCCCCTGGAAGTCGGCTTCTTACTGAAACACAGCTTCCCAATGTCAAATGTCACGGCACGCTACTGTCTTAGATATTACAATTTTTCTTGTATTCGAAGATTTGTCTTTTATAATATGTAGCCATGTTTCCCACGTACAGTAGAACCTCCATTATCCGGACCTCCATTATTCGGATTTTCGATTATCCGGATTGTTCAAAATAAACAAAAATTTTACGAATTTGCTGATTTGCACTTGGCGAATTACGACACTGTTTATGTATGTGATGGAATGCATAATTTTTTTTGTTTCAACAACGTCTCATCCAGCACAATGGTCGTAAACTCTTAAATATATTTTACGTAGTAATCAAAATATAACTTGACATACGTATTTACAAATAATTTATATTCAAATTACATCATTTC